GCCGCCACAGACGCACTAACCATAAGGACTCCCATTGTGTGCTTCGCACACAGGAGTCAATAATATTTATGATTACTAAAAATTCAAATTTAGGTGGTTGCTATGGTTACTGCTTGGTTGACGAGGACACGCTCATCCACTCTTGTAATGACTGTTAATCTTATCAATCTGATACCTAGGGTATACCTAAAATTATTTTCTTGTAATGATTTGTATGAAACTAATGACGTCATGTAGGAGAATAGGAAAATGACATTCTTCATCCATGTAAAAATCCTTGGTAATGTGATATCATGTGATGCCTCCAACTCACATATTTTAGGCAAACTTTTAAGTTTAAAAAATGCAATGTACTTTTCGAAATATGACTGTTTCCAACTTTGAACTTCATTCACTAAACTAAAACTTGCTAAAATAAAAACTTACTGCAGTAAACATCAAACAATTCTGTCTTCGTGACCTTAGCAGTAATTTTACCAAAACATAACTAAACAGACTTTGCATTTCATGCATACCTTGCATATTTACAGCAAAAGGTTATACACATAATGAGCAAACCCAAATTAAGGCGCTTTGGTGAATATGGCCACAAATAAAAACAACCTTGGTGACTACAAGTAAAAGCAATTTAGTTGTTTGGTGAACATGGCATAGCTTGATTTGAATTGTCATAATTGCAAAGAAGAATAACGCTGCAGCCCACACCTGTCATGTGCTAGATAGTTGCATATCTCTTTTTATACTCGTCCATGATTAATATTCAATTACCCATAATTGAATTCCAGCGATGCTTCTACAACAAGTAGTGCGTTTTATGCGATTTGTTCTGCATCATCTGTGAAAACACTTAGAAAAGACCAGAGAAAAGCAAAGTTTATCTAGCAAGGACAGGTAAATTTATGAATAAATGACGATAACACGGAATGATTTCTTGAAATTTAAATTCTGATGGGAGTTAATAAATGACCTATTTTCGAAACTGCCATATGTCACTCAAAACAGTACTTACATCTGCATCAACAGTTTACTAAAAATGAGGCTTGTTTTTGGATCAATTAAAAAACACTATTTATGAAAAACAAAAGTTTCAAGCTGTACATTTTTGCCAAGCCCTACAACTGCAAGCATAAAAGCTTATTCGCCAAATAACCTGACCAACTGCAGAGAGGGAGTTTGAACTGAACAAAAGGCAATAATCAAGTGCCTACAGACACAGAATAATAAAGGAGGAAAGCCTTCGAGCCCAGAAGACTTTGGCAATGATTGTGCTATCAAAATATATTCATAATTTATTTAAAAATGTCAGAGTCATGAATTGTGAAAGTATGTATCCATGTATTTATTAGATATTGTTATATGTAAGTTGAATTATATGCAGAGAAATGGTGGATCGGACAAACAAGCCGAAATTGTATGTTTACTGAAATCATGGCTAGCCAAGTAGAAGTTACTCGTGTTCACATGCCACTCAAGTCAGTTTTACTTGTGATTTAAATTGCATGATTTATCTTGTCATGGTCAACCATCAGTTATGTTTTTTCTAGTATCCCCGACCACCATAGTTGGGTTTATTTGTGTCAAGCGAACACAGGTCACAATCGCATTTTTTCCAACATTTTTTGGTTTTCTTATAATGTGTATAAACGTGTGCAAAATATGTAGTGATAAGATTTTGTGTAATTTCTGCTGAGGTCAAGGAGACAGAATTGTGTTTAATACAACAGTTTTTTTAATAAGCAATGCATTAATTAGGTCAATGAAGTTCAAAGTTTGAAAACATCATATTTCCAGAACTACATTCATTTGCATTTTATGTTTGCCAACAGCCATAGCAACCAACAAATGACAGCATTTTCTGGTGATTGTCAGCAATAGGTTTTACTGTATGAGTAAAATTGGCATTGTTGACATTTGGCCTATAGCTATTGTTTTAAATTTATATATAATCATCGAACCAATACACTTATATAAATTTTCTTGACAGTTTTGGTGAGTATGTCCCTAGAAAACTCATATTTATCACAATGTAGTATCTCAGGCTATGACGACCATTGCTGCTTGCAGCTATATTTGCAATGTGAAATTACACAAAATTACGCACATTAATGTATCGTTGTATTGTCACTGGATGGGTGTATGCGAGAGCATGCAGGTAATATTAATTCAAGGCTAGAATAACAAGTGCCATCACACTCAAACTAGAAACAGTGTTATAGGTACTATTTTTGAGAGATTCGTCATACCAATTTTGATTTGAGTACTGCGTAGATAATAAACTGGTCAGACACTGGTGGTCTCACATATATCCTGTGAACATATGTTGTGTTGACAGTATAATATTATTGTGCGTATTTCTTCAATAATTGTGTGGTAGTAGGTATAATAAGATGATATCCCTGTTTTTACATCTGTTGATAAATCCTTTTCTCGTTTAATAATAAGCTGTGGTGGTAACCATAGATACTTTAACAGTGTACATACATGATTTAAAACAAAGCATAATGTTTATCATTTGAATTGTGTATAATGTGGCCCACGATGTGAATATTTCACCGCATAATACATTGGAATTATATGCTGATTGGAAAGAATGATGCAGTGAACAAACAGAAAGAATATTTTCTGATGATTCAGGAGTTGTAAATGTTATTGTCGATTGAGTGTATTGTGCGAGCAATTGTCATGTGACACCCGTCATATATCATTTTGACATCCTCTTCATCTGACATCATCTTTGTAAAAGTGTTATTGTTTTTAAATACAAGTTTAAACTAATTACATCTACATTTGTTATACATCCGGGTGACTGTAATGCATCTTTTGTCGTAGGTGGTCATATTCAAATATCCAAACAAACATCATGGATGCATGGAAGTTTAGGCACTACTAGTGGATAAGAATGTCATCTTATAAAAAATCCGTGCGAACAGCGCCCATTACGGCCAACCCGTGATATTTTTAAAAGCAATATATTATGTGAACGCGTGTTAGAAAACGCATTTGACGTGATGTGTGTAATCAATAATGAATTAAAGTAGATTAGACTTGCACAGAAACCCCCAGACAGACCTACGTCACGACGTATATTCAATGAAATGATACACAAGCGTTAGTTAATAAGTAACAGCCGCTGTGAATTTGCTACTAGGCGTATGGGAGATGATGTATGTCTGTGTACTGTTGACATTTCACCCCTTTCGGGTTTTTTTTCGGTGTAAAAACTGTTGACGGTAAGGGATAAATTTTGCCGTAATATGAGTATTTAAGCAGAAAATTAGTTATAACAAGCCTTAGAGTTAATTAAACTAAATCAAAATTAATGGTGGCCACAAGGACAAGGTAATCATTTTTAAGAACTTGCAATTGAATGAAAAATGGTGGTGACATCACCTTTTTCACTATTGACAATGTCCTGTTTCTGTTTGTTTTCTGTATCTCTTCTCCAATCAGCATATCACTCTAAAGTATCACATATTCAGATTAGATGAGCATATGATGCTTACTTCAGCTACAAAACATCTGCTTCGTTCTCCTGACTCAACAGTGTATGAACAGAAACATTATCATTATGAACAGAATGTTATTCCCTATACCACTCAATGATGGCAGAAATACGTAAAATAAATTATAATACTGCCAAAATAATGTTTCTGATTATTTAACTAGTTCTTTGAAACAAAGGTGACATGACAAACTTCATAGAGCTTGCATATATAACAATTTGTCTTGAATTAGGTTTGAAGGCACTAGTTATTTTAGTGTTGGAAGAATGAAGTATAAATAAGGAATACTGTTAAATATGTTCTATTTTGACATAGACTTGTCTGTGTCATTAATATTTACATTAAGCACAAGGGCTTCTAATAGAGCAAATACTGCACTTAAAAATATAACTGGTTTATCAGTTATAAATATTTAATGAAATAATGGCCATATATTGTGACATGTAATTTTGGTTTTGTAAGCCAACAAAATTAAAACACAGTTGCATGTTTCTATCTGCAATTGTACTCACTGTTATGCATATTACTGAAGTTAAACGACCATATAAAATTATCTGAGGTATGCCTTCATATTAGCGCGAGTTGCATGTCTCTCTGCAGTAGTACTTAACATATTATACCCCTGATATAATCACACAATTACGCACTTTAATGTATTGTTGTAGTGTCACTGAATGAGAAATGATGTATGTGCTATATATACAAGGCTAGAATAGCCATTGCAATCAAACTCAAACAAGAAATAGTGGTATAGATACAATTTCTTTTTATAGATACAATTTTTTTGCAAAGTAGATAATAAACTGGTCCGACACTGGTGGTCTCACATATATCCTGTAAAACTATGTGTGGACAGTATAATATTGTGCTTTTTTTCCTATCATTATCAGATCAAAAATTTTCATTAACAATACCAACACTAAACTGACAAAATTTACAAATTAATGAAAATGAATATATATAGAAATAATAAAAATTACACACAAAAACATATATTCACTCTCTCACACACACTCAAAATAACAAATACACAAGCCAATCATATATGATCACCTATGACACAATAACAACTTTCCAATGACCACAAAACGATACACCGACCTATAGAATTACCTAATTTCAATTAGCAAATAGTACTTACACAAAATACAATAAAGCATTCAAACAGATCTTTGGTGTGCGATCTGTAGATTCTACAATGAATTTTCTCGTTATTTTACTATTTGGTTTTAGCAGCACACTAAATGTTGTTATGCATGGCCGATATTATACATAGACAAGTGAGTCTATAACATCATGAAACTGAAAGTCAGTCTATCTTCACCAAATTAACACGTCATCTCTTACATACCACCACATGCCACCATCAATTGACATTTCGTCATGAATAGTAAACACCAAGATAAAAAGGGTCATTTAAATATTACCCCCATATGTAACTGTTATGATTGGCCGGAGAAAGCAAATAGCTTGTGGTTAATATATTTCTCGTTATAGCTGTGGAAATCACATCACTGATTGTACCGAGCTCGTTCAGAACAGAAACCCATCATCGCCGCCTTCATTGTGTTGTTTTCAGAGTATATCATCAAGGTAGGTAATTCAGAAAGTGTTCATGTCCGAAAATATGTGTTATCTAGCACGATATGTTTCACCATGTTCCAGTGTATTATGAGTTAAAATAATATTAAATATCAAACTGTCTAAAATTTCTAAATATCAATGTCTTGACAAGAATCTGCTATTGTAATTACAAAAATATTAGACATTTGAATTTTTTCCCGAATATTTTTTTTCGTCCCTGATGTGTGAACAAAAAGTCGTTCTTCTCATTGTTTTAATGTGTTATGGGAAGAATTTCACCCACGCAACGTTATATCACATAGCTTAGTCCATGATATATATATATCGTTTTTTATGATAATTGTCATACATTAAAAAATAGTTTGCTTGTCCTAATTTAAAAACATACACAGTGATGGAGCAGCGCATTTGTACTTGACAACTGTGTTCCTCTATAAATTAGAGAGTGATACTGACAATCGGGCGTATTAGCCTAGTAAAGTAAAGTTCCAATTTCAAAAGATCATGCAAAAACTGAAAAGTTGTTGAAAATCGGGATAAATTTTGTGTTTTATTGTATTGGGTTTCATTAGTTTGTTGGGTTACTTTTTTGGAACATGCTGTCACCGAAATGCGTTTACGAATTATGCATAGACAGTCAGTATTTTTTTACATGCGTCGCCATGGGCCATATATTTTTTCGTAACATATAGCCAAAATAAAAAAAAAGACTAAGGTAATTGTTGAATAATATTTATTCTGTCATTTTTTATTTCATTATCATGTTTTTCATTATTTACTAATGCTTCGAAATGTGTATAATTTTAAAATTATTATCGTTAGCATAATCATTATTGAATCAGTGCATGATTTACTGTTCTTTTACGCCCATATGTTACTAATAATTGGGTAGATACAGCTATGGACTAGACTAGTTAAGTTGGATTTATATCTCTATATAATCTATGTCTATGTCCTCACCAGATTTATATTCATTTTACTATACTGCATTTGTTTCGAGCATAAACATTCGTAATCAGGTGATCTGAAAAATTCAAAAATATTCAATTAACTCATGTCTTGTGACAAAAATACAACAGTAAAATCGGTTGATAAAAACCAAACCACGTAAAAGTAAAAAACACTTATTTTCAAAAATGCCACGCATTATTTTTAGTTATGGCATGACGATAAACCCCGTGACAATTGCCATTACGCATCTGTATTCTGACATGGCGATTCACGATCGCACATGATACCCCCAGGCAACCAACGCATTTTCAATAAATCTAGTAAGATTTTCTAAATAATGCTAACTGCTAAAAAATGACGTGCCATACACCATAGATTAATGGGGTATTATAAAAAAGGTTTTCCCTACAAGTATTTTCGATAACATTGTCATCAGTGATTAAATAAGACTTGGGAAAATGGCAACAGACATATAAGACGGACATTAATAACGAAATATTTAGAGCATCACAAGACTCTAAACTACGCTCCAAATTGACTCAATAGTGATATCATTTTAACATACCCACATAACATACTCACAAATTTGAATCATATGCTACAGATTTTTACTAAAATTATTTTGTGTATGCCACGATTGGCATACGAATAGATTACGGAAATGATAAATGAAGTCAGCGACTTGGTCTTCAAAATAGTGAATTAACAGATAATTAGTTAACTGCATAAAAGAAATGTAGTTAAGTTGGCCAGCTTATACTATGACAAAAATGAGGTAAACAAGAGACACCTAATGTAGTTGGACTGTCCCACCTTTGACCAACGTGATGCACGCTTCCATATGCTTCTTAACAGAAAAAATCATACATTTCTTTGGTTTATTCTAGTCGTTTAAATAAACAGTTGAAATGCAAGGAAAATAAATTGTAACACGTAACAACATATTTTTACATCATGGAATATATTGATATGAAACACACGTTGCTGAAAAATATAACGGCAGCTTGCAGTGTGGATGTTTTGAATTGTATTTATGATATATCGTTGTTTTTTCGTTTTTATATTACTTCGAATATTCGGTTTATTTTTAGCATGTGGGCGTTTATCTTATATATCACTCTGTCTTTGTGCACAAGTCACGTCATGTCAAATAAACTTGGCAACCAGGTAAAGTAACTATGTATTTTTTTTATATTGGTGTTATTTATTAATATTTAATTTCAAACAATCTTTCAATAATTTGAGGTATGCTAAATTCGGCAATGTACAAGTGGCTAACACACTTATTGTAGTATCGACTATAGTGATACAATGCTGCTGAAATTTAAATAGTACACATTTGCAAGCTTGCCAGATTTGGCATTTATATTTATGTCAATCATATCTGTCTATTGTCTTCGTCGATTAAGTTATTAATTTACCCAAATTACTGTATATTATGTCGCAATGTATTCGAGTTACTAACTAATAATGTCACTTTCTAGTGGGTGTCAAGCCTGAGTTTGCGTGATGGTAAGTATTAGATGGCATATATTTATACGTCCACATTACTATAGAGGTTTCGTTTGTTTTTGAGTAATTTAAGTGCATTTATCTATTATTAGTAAATTCCTAACTAAGATAATGCAGTTACACCTTGCAGTTTTAATTATTGCAATAGAGAATGCACA